TATATATATGTGTATATATATATATATATATATATATATATATGTAACAGTTTTGTTTTGCTTTGGGTTTTGGGTGTAATTCCAAAGTTGACCAGTAGATGGCTGTACACTATATTGTTTGACACCATGTAAATTTGAAAGAAGAATAAAAACAGGAAGTATTTCAGATGAGCCTAATTTTTGCTGAAGATTATTGAATGTAATGTCCTTCTGGATCCTTTGATCCTGCTTTTTATATGAACAGGAAGTGGCGGCTAAACATTTATTTTAGAATGTAAATCTTTTGTAGGCCGATTATTGGTTTGACAGTTTACCTTTTTGTTTGTTTGTTTGTTTTTTGTTAAGGAACTCCAAAGCAGTCAATGTCCTGCTGCAATATGATTGGTTTTCTTGAAAAAAATCACGAAACAATTCACCTCTTTGACGTTAGCGCAGGGGGCTAGCTGCTATATTTTCCCCTCCTCAGCTTTGCTGAGCGAGGAGGGGTGAGCAGAGGACACAGGGAGAGAGGGAGGGAGTCAGGGGAGGGAAGGAGGAAGATAAGAGAGAGACCACTTTTCCAACTACAGCGGGCTTACACGGATATCTTTTTGCTATGTTGATTAATGTGCATTGTCTTTAAAAAAAAAAAACATGCCTGTGGGTACTAGTTAGCACCCAAGGCCAACCTGAGTAGTTCAAAGGTCTGTTACAAAATAGGTCACCGGTTATAGCACGTCTGATTTACTGAAACAGTAAATGTGTTTGTATTTTGGAAAACCAACTGAGCGTTGATGGTTTTTTTTTTTTTTTTTTTTTTTTAATTACAGTATGCTTCCTGACTTATTCCCCTTCATCCCACTGAGTATTTGTGTATGGTCTTTCGCTTTGATTTGAGGATTCCAGTCATGGTCACATGAGTGTTTGCGTCTTTGTGTCTTTCTCCATAATGCATTGTTTGATTCTTGTTCTTCAACTACAAGGACAGCAGCATCAAACACAAAGAGGGCTCGAGCAACATGAAAGACCTGCTCCATTGGGTCCAAATGACATTGGCCCAGTCAGTTGTGTCTCTGGAAAACACTTCAACGCAGCAAATGATAGTTATTTACAATTACACTGTCACCTGAGCAGACAGCATTCTCATTTTACAAAACACGCTTTAACTCGAAAGTAGAATTCCGTGGAGGCAAGAAATAGAAAGTGGGTAACTGGAACTCTTTTGTTTTCCATTCAAGTCAGCTGACAGCAGCTCTTGAATGGTTTTTGGTAAAGGGCTGAACGATTTGGGAAAATAATTATAACTGCGATGAAAAAAAATCATTTGATTAGCATTTGTAATGTCATTTTCTAATGTATTTTTTAGACAAACAAGCAGTTAATTAATCTTCATCACAACAAACAATATCAGATCTGTTCTGCATTATGATAATATTTTCCAACTAGGAGAAAGGGGATACATGAAAAAATGATTCCCCTGGTAGCGTAAGACACAAAAATTCAACTGATTTTTGTAAACACAGTTTTAGTCAATTGCATATGATTATTCATGACTGTTTTTGTCATTAGCTTCCCCCTCCCCTTATTCTTATCTTAATGAACCATTACCCTCCTTCAGCCCATCTGTCACTCCTGTGAAGATATATACTCCACCCAAATGACTTTTTGCGCATTACGAATACCCCCTGGGATACCGAAGGCATTTATAATAAAGATGTTTGCATTTTGCTCTGTTATTGCTCCCTATCTCAGCAGACCGCCACTGTTAGCATAATGTGAATTTTTTTTTTTTTTTTGGAATTACAGACCTCTGTGACTGATTATTCTATCCAGGGCCAGCACGTATAAAGATTTTCTATTCGGCAGCCGGAAGCAATGCAAAAACCATCTCAATGAGTTCCCATCTCGTCATTGCCATTTGATCATGTCAGTTCCCCATACGGTGTGGCAAATTTCGCAAAAGCTGTACGCTGGTGTTTACCATCTTCAGAGATGCCCATAATTGCATTTTTATACAAACCCGCAATATCAAATAGCATCATCCGTGTAATGTACCTTTTTTGTTTTCTGCATCACCCACCAGTATCTTTTATTAGTCTGTACCTTACCAGTAAGGATGAAGTGTAATCGATG